CTAAGCCTCTAACCCTAAACCCTAAACCCTAAACCCTAAACCCTAAACCCTAAACCCTAAACCCTAAACCCTAAACCTCGAACCCTAAACAAAACGTTTACGTAAACCCCTTGAAGGCCCGTGGAGCGAAGACCACGCCGAAGAAGAAGCGCAAGCCTCCACCGCTGATCAAGTGCCTTGAGCTTCTAAGGATGGTAGGGTTTAGGGTTTAGGGTTTAGGGTTTTGGGTTTTGGGTTTTGGGGTTTAGGGTTTAGGGTTTAGGGTTTGGGGTTTGGGGTTTAGGGTTTAGGGTTCACATGCCTAGAGGGGCAGCGAGCATCACGCTCCGAAACCCTAACCCTAGACCCTAAACCCCTAAACCCTAAACCCCTAAACCCCTAAACCTTGTGATACGTGCCGGGCAGCTAGGTGGGAGAGGCATTTTCGGGCAATGCACGCGTTTTGTTTCTCATGATGTTGTGTGGTCCCAAGTGCATGGCTCGCCGAGATTTTGTGCCGAGAATATTTTCCGGAGCCCGAAACCAAACCTTAAACCGTAAACCCTAAATCCTAAACCCTATCCCCTAACCCCAAACCCTATCCCGAAATCCTAAAAACCCTAACCCCAAACCTGATCCCTAAACCCTAAACCCTAAACCCCGTACCCCCTAAGTCTAAATTTGGCATAGGCATCAAAAAAAAAATAATAAGCATCAAAAAGAAAAATAATAGGGATCAATAAAAACAAAAATAGGCATCAAAAAAAAAATAAAGCCATCCGGCCCACCTGCGTGGTCCTCTGGTCCCGTGGTCCTCTGGTCCCGTGGTCCTCTGGTCCCGTGGTCCTCTGGTCCCGTGGTCCTCTGGTCCCGTGGTCCTCTGGTCCCGTGGTCCTCTGGTCCCGTGGTCCTCTGGTCCCGTGGTCCTCTGGTCCTGTGGTCCCCTGGTCTTGTGGTGCCCTGGTCCTCTGGTCCTCTGGTCTGCTTGTCTGTCCGCCTGGTCCTGCGGGTCCTCTGCGTATAAATAAATAAGTAATTTAGACAAATAAGTAAAAATCAATAAATATAAATATATATATATATATATATATATATTATATACACACGATAGTGAAGGTCGACGTGTGTGTATATATGTATGTATGTATGTGCATATATATATATACATATTACATAATACACATTACATTACACATTGCCTATTATATACTATACATTATACATTATACATTATGCATTATACATTATATATTATATATTATATATTATATATTATATATTATATATTATGTATTATGTATTATGTATTATGTGTTATGTATTACGTATTCTGTATTATGTATTATGTATTATGTATTATGTATTATGTATTATGTATTAATTATGTATTATGTATTATGTATATTATGTATTATGTATTATGTATGTTACATATTGTATTTTTGTATATTATTATATTTATTATATTATTATTACCTTATCTATATATTATTATTATATATTATATATTATATATTATATATATTATATATTATATATTATAATTATTATATATTATATAATTATATATATATATATATTATATTAATCTGGTAATTGTGTATATATATACACTTACACTTATATATATAAATTGTTATATATATATCTATCATTTATATTTACATTTATATTTTCATATTGTCGTACATTATATGATATGTGTATGTATATAAATAAGTAAATATAAATATGAATAAATAAATAAATATATATAAGTAAATAAATAAATAAATAAATATATATATATATATACTTATATTTATATCGCATATTGTATATTACATGCCATATATTGCATATTATACATTGTATATTGCATATTATATACTGCATATAATGCATAGTATATAGTATATAATATATACTGTATACATAATATACAATTTTTCAAATATATAATATTATTTATTATTAATTAATTTATTATTTATTATTCATTATATAGTATATTTTATATATTATGCAGTATGTATTATATATTGTTCTTTGAAGCCATTGGAATGCAAAGAAAATGGAAGTTTTTTGCTTGAAGCATGTAGAAGTAGAGTTTTTCCGATGGAAACATAGAGATAATAGAGGATTTCTCATGAAAACGTGAAGACAGTAGACGTTTTCTTGTGGGAGTATGAAGAAATAGAGGTTTTCCCATTGAAAGATCGAGAAACTAGAAGGTTTTCCAACCACTACCACCACTTCTACGCATCGTGCGAACATTGCTTGCCCCCCCCCAACCCCCCCGCTATTTTTTTTAAGCTGTGCAAAGCGTGCTGCAAAGCCAAGTGGGGGGGTGTGGGGGGGGGGGGGCCTGCGCCAACCCCAACCCCGCCGCGTTTTTATCAAGCTGTGCCACTGCAAAGCGTGCTTTATGAATCTTGTTGAAGCCATTGGGATACTAAAAAGTTTAAGTTTTTCTTAAAATACATGCAAATAGAGGTTTTCCGATGGAAACATAGAGATGATAGAGGTTTCCTATGAAAACGTGAAGTTAATAGAGGTTTTCTTGTGGGAATATGAAGAAATGGAGGTTTTCCTATTAAAAGATCGAGAAAATAGAAGGTTTTCCAACCACTACCACCACCCACTACTACCCATCGTGCGCATTGTGTTTGCAAATGGGGCGGGGGGGGGGCTGCGCCCCCCCCCCCAACCCCCCCCCCAACCCCCCCCCCCCAAACCCCCCCCCCAACCCAACCCCCCCCCCCCCCCCCCCCCCCCAACCCCCCCCCCCCACCCCCCCCCCCCAACCCCCCCCCCCAACCCCCCCCCCCAACCCCCCCCCCCCGCTGTATTCCAAGAGGAAAATGGTTTTTTTTTTTTTTTTTGATGCTTATTTATTTTTTTTTTGATCCCTTGGGGTTATTTTTTTTTTTGATGCTTATTTATTTTTTTTTTGATCCTTCACCCTCTAAATTTGCTGTGTTGGGGCAAAGCCCGCGTCCCCCCGAAGGTTTGGCGCTTCCGACCCGGAGTATCTGCCGGAGTGCAAGGAGCGGCCTCAACTCAACAAGAAGGGACTTCGGGTTTAGGGTTTAGGGTTTAGGGTTTAGGGTCGTTCGCGAGTTCTTTTCACTACTGGAAGACTGCGATCTTGAGCTTGCGAAGTCTGAACCCTAAACCCTAAACCCTAAACCCTAAACCCTAAACCCTAAACCCTAAACCCTAAGCCCGTGACGAGATCCACCGGCCCGCCCAAGGAGATGACAGGCAATCGGAGCCCTTGAAGGTAAAACCAGCTGCAACCTGAAACGCAACACCTCAGGGTTTAGGGTTCAGGGTTTAGGGGTTAGGGTTTAGGGTTCAGGGTTCAGGGTTCAGGGTTTAGGGTTTAGGGCTTAGGGTTTAGGGTTTAGGGTTTAGGGTTTAGGGTACCTCCTGGGCAGGACGAGTCGCACCCCGGAGCGCGCAAGTTCAAGCTGGCCAGCATGCACCTCGGTTGGCGAGATCTTGAGCCTCAAAGACCCTTAAGGTTAACCCTAAACCCTAAACCCTAAAACCCTAAAACCCTAGAATCCTAAGTTTAGGGTTTAATCCCCTCCCCCTTACACTAAACCCCACCCTAATTTTAAGTATAATTCTTGTTTTTCCCGGATCCTCCCGGCACTCAGCCCAATACTAAACCTGTTTGAGAACCTCCGCCCTTGAGTTGAGCCATTAGGGTCTTCAATTCTGGTGTAGGGCTCAAGGCTCAGAGGGTTTGCAGGGTTTAGGGCTCGAGGCTCAGAGGGTTTAATTAGGGTTTAGGGCTTAAGCAATTCTAACTGAATTTTGAACCCTGAACCCCACCTCTCCCAAGCTTCAGATTTCAGGTTTTTGGGTTTAGGTCCCCCCCTCATTTTAGATATTTTTCTGGCCGAGGCGAATATTGGAATTCCGGGGGGGGGGGGGGGGGGGGGGGCAGTTTTGGTATTAGGGGGAGGGGGTTAGGGTTTAGGGTTTAGGGTTTAGGGTTTAGGGTTTAGCCAAGGATTGACAGAAGCCGCGGACTCCCCCAATGTCACCTGTGAAGCCCAAAAAACCCACAAGAGAACCCTGAAGCTGAAAGGATGCCGTATACTACTCTTCTGTAATCCCTGGTAGGGTAACATGAACCCCTAGGCTTAGGGTTTAGGGTTTAGGGTTTAGGGTTTAGGGCTTAGGGCTTAGGGCTCAGGGCTTAGGGCTTAGGGCTTAGGGTTTAGGGTTTAAACCCTAAACCCTAAACCCTAAACCCTTTTAGGGCTCCGAGTTGGTCCCTGCAAGAGAACCCTCCACCTCAAAGCACACGAAACGTCGTGGAAAAGTCAGGAATGAAGAGGCCAAAGAGCTGGACGACGAGAATCCCTGCAAGCACCTTCGGCATTGGAGTTCTTGTTGGTGCTCTTCTTAAGGTAATTCGGCGGCTTTGTTTAATGGTTGACATTCGAAGCCACACGGCTCAGTGCGCCAGCACGTTGTGATCGTAGAACTGCCGCCTCGCGTCAGCACATCGGAGCTCGATCCCAGGAATGAGGCTTAAGTTTAGGATTCAGGGTTTAGGACTCAGGGTTTGGGGTCTAGGGTCTAGGGTTTTGGGTTTAGGGTTTAGGATTCAGGGTTTAGGGTTGAACGCTGGCGGTCGCCATGGCGTGTCCTACAACCCATCACCTCATCGGCCTCATGGGAAGCGCCCCCAGGTACGTGTATGGCGCGCCCCTAAACCCTAAACCCTAAACCCTAAACCCCAAACCCTAAACCCCAAACCCAGGTACGTGTATGGCGCGCCCCCCACCAACCAAGACATGGACGGGGCCGATGGCATGACTGGTTGGATCGACGACCTGAGCCCTGGCTTAGGGTTTAGGGTTTGGGGTTTAGGGTTTAGGGTTTAGGGTTTAGGGTTTAGGGTTTAGGGTTTAGGGTTTAGGGTCTGGGAACTTATCCGAAAGTGAGGGTTCCCAGAACGCAATGCTTGAACAGCTGGGACCCAGAGTAGGCCCTTATTAATTATTGTGTTCTTAGGGGGTTTCAGTTCTCTGTATACGCCCCTGTAAACCAAGAAGGGCACCCCGTTTAATCCTAGGATACTCTTGGGTCTGGATAAGTTTCCCAAAATATGGTCCCCGACGGTTCGGACGCCTCCACCCCAAAGTGGCGCTCCAGCCGTGTGAGCAGCGAACTCCAAGCCCCAAACCCCAAACCCTACCAATCAAATAAGTCCCACCCTTGAACCCTGAACCCCAAGCCCCAACACCCCAAACCCCGAACTCGAAAACCCCAAACCATTAACCACAAGCCCTAAACCCCAAACCCTAAACCCCACACCCTCACCCCAATCCCCAAACACTAAACCCCAATCCCTACACCCTATTCTCCGAACCCTAAACCCCATCCCGAACCCTAAACCCCATACCCTAAACCCTAGACCCCGAACCGTAAACCCCAATCCCCGAACCCAAGCCCCACTCGCTAAACCCTAAATTCCAAACCCTAAACCCTAAACCCTAAACCCTAAACCCTAAACCCTAAACCCTAAACCCTAAACCCTAAACCCTAAACCCCAATCCCTAAACCCTAAACGCTAAACCCTAAACCCTAAACCCTTGAAGCCCAGGGTGGACACCGTGGGGCCGGGCCAGGGAGGTGTGACCTACAAATCCGTCAAGGAATGCCGGGCGGCCCAGCTTCTGTGGTTTGAGGTTTAGGTATATGGGGTTTAAGGGTTTAGGGTTTAGGGTTTAGGGTTTATTTTGGGTTCAGGGTTGGTGTCGGGTCCGAAGCCGAGGCAGTGACCGCGACATTGTCCGCGAGCTCCAGATGGCGAAGTGGAGCCAGGCCGTGGTTGAGAAAAAAGGGGTAGTCTACAGTATACAGAATATTCGAATATAGTATAAAGTATATAGTATATAGTATGTCGTATATCCTATGTAGCATATGAGTATGCAGTATGGAGTATATAAGACTATGGTATATAGCAAAGTCTCGTATATTTGTCTACAGCATGCAGTATACAGGATCATACCTCCCTGGGTTCTGAAGTATGGGCCCTTGGGTTTTTCCGGGTATAAAAGGGGTATGTAATTTAGTAGATAAGAATGCAGCTTATAGGATAGTATAGCTACGGTGTAGTGGGTTTTGGCGGCTTAGGGTGTAGGGTTTAGTGGATCCCTGAGGGATTGGTACAAAGATTTGTCAACTTCAGTTGAGGAGCCACAAGTGGGCTCCAAAGGGGTTTTGTGGATCAGGCCGCTCAGAATCAGACGGTTCCATCTCACTGTTCGTGCTGCCACATGAGATGGGCCAACACAAGCCCGTGGGGCAACCATGTTTTCTTGTCAACAGCGCGGTGCATGCAGCACGCACGTTGTGGACTGAGGGTTTGTGGAAGATCCTAAACCCTTTGAGACAGCACAGGCAGCGTCATCCACTCTTGATCTTTAGGGTCTGCGCTTTTACCACTAAAGGTTCTTGCGCCTGCAAAGCTCGCAGAATCCCGGCAAGAATCCCCTCACATGAAGGAGCCCTGACTTCTTTCTTGGCTTGCATAGAGCCGGTCGACTTTGCCGGCACATTCTCAGAGCACTGCAAACCCTAAGCCCTGAACCCTCAAGGCCCCCAAACCCTAAAGAGTGCTGCAAGCTGTGGCAGCCGTGCGTCTCTTTGAGAGGCACACAACTACCACACCATGGGCTTCGACTACGCGCGGGACAGTCCCTTCAGGGCAGGATAGGGCAGGTGCCTTCGCATCGGGGGCTTGCAGTTGAGGCTTCCTCTCCTCTACGAATTGCTTAAGAGCCCCCCCAAGAAAATGCAGATATTCTTCCTTGCACGGGTGATATGGGGATTCTTTTTTTTTTTGGCTTCTTAAGCAGATGGTAGTCCTTGGCTTCCGAGGCTTGAGGGTAGCAGCTACGCTCGGTTTACGGTTTAGGGTTTAGGGTTTAGGGTTTAGGGTTTAGGGTTTAGGGTTTAGGGTTTAGCCCAGAAGGGCCCCAGCTGCTGAGAGGACTTGATCATGGCGTATGCTGACGGCATGCCCGAAGTGGAGGCCCCCGAGCCTTTCGATCAAGGGTTTAGGGTTTAGGGTTTAGGGTTTAGGGTTTAGGGTTTAGGGTCCTTAGATGTCTCCTGTCTCCTGTTCAAGACTTGTTGGAGACCCCCACATTCTGATCCGTGTCGCATAGCGCGCACACCCTAAACCCTAAACCCTAAACCCTCAAGCCCCCTGTAACTTGAAATTATTAAGAAAAATCCAAAAACGAAACTCCTCGAAACTTCCCCGGACCTGAACCCTTAGTAATTTCTAAACCCTAAACCCTAAACCCTAAACCCTAAACCCTAAACCCTAAACCCTAAACCCTAAACCCTAAACCCTAAACCCTAAACCCTAAACCCTAAACCCTAAACCCTAAACCCTAAACCCTAAACCCTAAACCCTAAACCCTAAACCCTAAACCCTAAACCCTAAACCCTAAACCCTAAACCCTAAACCCCAACCCATAACCCTTCCTTCCCGAGCTATCGACAGCACACGAGCCGCGACGTACCTCACAGACGCCAGAAAGCATGATCCGTCCTTGAGGAAGCTATATCCCCCTTGGGAATTCTTCTTTATTTTTGTTTATACAAAACCCAAGAGGATATTAAAAAACAGTATGTTTAGTAATATTTTTGTTTATATAACCCAAGAGGATATAAAGTATTGAAATATTTTTTGTTAAGGTTCTAAGGGGAGTAGAGGAAGGCTCTTGCTCGAAGTGTACTCTGCTGGTGTGCAGGCTGCGCCCATCGGTGCAGGTTTCGAGTTCCAGCCGGGCTCCATTCTGGCTGCTTACAGCACAGCCCCCAGTGTTCGGGGTTTAAGGGTTTGGGTGTAGGGTTTAGGGTTTGGGGTTTAGGGTTTAGGGTTTGGGGTTTGGGGTTTAGGGTTTAGGGTGGTTGCTCAGTGTCTCCGTCCAGGGAGTGTAGAGGAAGATGTGCTGCGAATCCAAGTTGCATGAAGTTGTGTGGAGGATCCGATCACCCCTAAACCCCAAACCCAAAACCCTAAACCCTAAACCCTAGGCCGCCCCGAAGGCATCGCAGCCTCTTACCACCGGACAGCTTCTGCATCCTTCCGAGGCACCTGGTACTTTAACACCATTCAGCTGGGAGAAGACATTGCCATGCAGCAGCCGCTCGTTGGGGTTTCTAGGGCTCCTAGGGTTTCTAGGGGGTTACGAGGGTTTCTTGGGTTTCTAGGATTTCTAGGGTGGCTGGGGTTTTCTAGCGCTTTCCAGGGTTTCTTGGGTTTCTAGCATTTGGGATGTTGCAGGCTGGGTCTGGGGGTAAGGATTTAGGGCAGTTTAGGCTTACCTCTCTTCAGCTGAAGTTGGTCTGCGCATAGGAACCCCAACGGCAGCGGATGACGTAAACGGGCGCTTGAGCGTTGCTCCGCGTGCCAGGCCCGAGACCCTAAACGTCACTCCCTGAGCCCTGAACGACTTCCAAAACAGGAGATGCGCCTGGGTGAAGGCACATTCGAACCAAGAGGGCGCTTTGTAGATCCTGCACGACACGTATGTCCATTCCCCCTTCTTGTTCTTTGTAGGGATTGAGGGTTTTGGCTGCCCGCATTGAAGGGTCGGGGGGACATGTGGCACTTAACCTAATCTATACTGAGAACAAGTGAAGGTTTCCGAAATTAAGGGCACCTTATTGGGGTCATTATTATAAGGGAATCCTACTACTTGGGTGGCCTATATTTGTGGTAAACCCCATGTAAATTCCGTTGAGCTCGCAAATGTAAGGCACGAGATGCACTTCGAGCAAGCGGGTCACGACGACTGCAATCCGATTCAGCAACTCCGCCGGTTTTTCCTTGGCTTTCGGGCTTGGGGTGTAGGGTTTCAGGGCCTTCGGGTGTCTGATGATCCTTAATCCCTAAGCCCCTAAACCCTAAACCCTAAACCCTAAACCCTCAACCCTAAACCCTAAACCCTCAAGGCATGGATTTGCCAGAACCTTCTGCGATCTTCACTGCATCCGAGATGCCGTGCGACGCTCGGTCACATTCGGACTGCTTTGTGCGTACACACCGATGCAGGGAGGGTTTAGGGTTTAGGGTTTAGGGTGTAGGGGTTTAGGGGTTTAGGGTTTAGGGTGTAGGGGTTTAGGGGTTTAGGGTTTAGGGTTAAGGTTTAGGGTTTAGGGTTTAGGGTTTGGGGTTTGGGTTTAGGGGGGAAGTCTCTTTAGAAAGGGGGTTCCCCCTTTATACCCAAAGTGAAGCAGAATCGACCCCAAAGAAGGACCCCGATTCTTTGGAAAGCCGCAATCGGACGTCTGGTGATGCATCCACTTCTATTTGCTTAAGAAATCTAGAAAACACCCCCCCCCCCCAAACAAAAACCAACTAAAACAATAAATAAGTATCTATATATATATATATATATACACACCTATATTCTTCCTGACAAGAGCAATATAGGGATTGAAATCTTGAGTTTTTGGGTGGGTTCTGAAGCAAATAATAGTCCAGGAAGGGCAGGGGCTGCCTTCCCAAGCAATCCCTGCCTCACGCATGAAAGCTTGTTTAGCTGGGTCCCGCACTCCTCAGAAAGGGATTACCCTAAACCCTAAACCGTAAACCCTAAACCCTAAACCCCACCGACTCTTCGACAGGAAAGGGGGATGATGCGATCCTGCGAGCATTGGAAGAGGCGGTCGAGATCATTGGCAAGAACACCCAGCTTCTCCTTGAGCATTACGCCGCCTCACTGCAACTTGCAGCACACCTTTCTGAGCTCTGGCCACCCTAAACCCTAAACCCCAAACCCTAAACCCTAAACCCCAAACTAAACCCCAAACACTAAGCCCTAAATCCTAGACCATAGACCCTAGACCCTAAACCCTAACCCCTAAACCCTAGACCCTAAGCCAGCCGAAGACAGCGCTCAGGTCGGGGAAGAGTCCGGATCATTATTGGTCGAGGAGGCGCTGGGCAGCCAAAGCGTGCCACTTGAGGATGAGGATCTATTTTCCCTTTTTCCTATACGATGTGCATATACATATATATATATATGCATATGTATATATATACATACATTCGTATATACATACTATATATATATATATGTATATGGTTTTAGGTTAAGTGTCGAAGAAATAGGGCCTTGAATCTACAATGTATAAAACGCCGCAGTACGATTTTTGGCTCTCGCGTCGATTATTGGGTTGGCACGACATCTGAGTATTTTTAATGCGAGAATGAATACCACACAAAGGTCTTTCTACACTTCAGTTTGTAATTGCATGGCGCTTTGTCCCGAAGAGTTCAAAGAACGAGAAACGAACAGTTGTGTTTCAAAGCTTGTGCGTCTATCGCGAAAAGGGCTCAAGTTGATGTCAATCGCGGTTTTATCGCGACACACCCAAGCTCCTTTACTTGCTCCGAATCCACTTTTATTTCTCTTCGGGGCCGCCTCTAGCCATGCACCGCTGGCTCTTTGCTTATTTTCGCGGCCCCTCAGCCCTACCTCAAGAACTTAAAAGCCCACGTTGCATAGGAAATTGCTTTGAACCCCCTTGCTGTATTCTTCGGATAAAGTACCCAAACAGAAACCGAAGCTCTTGGCTTCTTCCTAGGTACCCTACATAAACCCAAACCCGCAAACTGAAGAACTAAACCCTAAACCCTAAACCCAAACCCTTTAAAGTGTAACCCTAAACCCGAAACCCTCAAGTCCAAAAAAGCAATGCCACAGAGCCTTACCCAGAGACTCCAATACCCCTTACTTAAGGGATATTCCTTCAACCACACAATTATAAGGACATAACCCTAAACCCGAAACCCTAAAACTTAAACCCTAAACCCTAAACCCTAAACCCTAAACCCTAAACCCTAAACCCTAAACCCTAAACCCTAAACCCTTGGGCCCATTCTAAGGGACCATGTAACCTCCTCAACCCTCCGCCCTAAACCCTCGACCCTCAACCCTCAACCCTAAACCCTAAACCCTAACCCTCTTATACTTTAAGGAATATTCCAGAAAAGGGGTATTGGCCTACATAAACCCAAACCCCTAAGCCCAAAAACCGACTTTACGGAATATTCCTGAACAGCAGGGGTATTGGAGTCCCTGGTTGGAGGCCTCCAAGATCCGCCGCGGACTCGCCACCCAATTCCAAGAGCTGCGGGCAGTGGCGCAAGAGGCATGCGGTGTAGGGTTTAGGGTTTAGGGTTAGGGTTTAGGGTTTAGGGTTGAGGGTTGAGGGTCGAGGGTTTAGGGCGGAGGGTTGAGGAGGTTACATGGTCCCTTAGAATGGGCCCAGAAGGGCCCTTGTATACCCCACTCTTACCCCATTAGAGGGAGGGGGGGGAGGGGGGGGTGAGGAGGGGAGGGGGGGGGGTGGCGTATCACATTCTTGTGCAGCTTCGGCTTGGGGATCCGGGGCTGGGGTTTGGGGTGCACCTGCAACCCTAAACCCTAGAGTTTTTGAGGGTTATCAGACCCGGTAGGCACAGGAATCCTTAAGGGACCCCTTGTGTCTTGCGACTTGGCCCGGATTATCCGAGGGTTTGGCAAGCCGCTTGCGACTGTCGATTAGTGTGTCGTGCAGATTTTATCAGGAAGTCAGGTACGGAATTCGCAGCGAATTCTCGCGATGAATTCCCTTAGGGCCTGACAGCAGCAAACAAGAAATGCTAGCTGTAGGGCAGTAGAAGGCAGTATAATGGTCGCAGAGTCCACATCGCCAATGTCGCAAGCACACGTCCGCGACGACTTCCATCCATCAGGTGTCTTTGTTTTTCCCTTCTCCTTCTCTTTCTCCTTCTCCTTCTCCTCTCTCCTCTCTCCGCTCTCCTCTCTCCGCTCTCCTCTCTCCGCTCTCCTCTCTCCGCTCTCCTCTCTTTGCTCTCCTCTCTCCTGTCTCCTCTCTCCTCTCTCCCCTCTCCCTTCTCCCTTCTCCCCTCTCCCATCTTCCCTCTCCCCTCTCCTCTCTCCTTGCTCTCCTCTCTCCTCTCTCCTCTCTGTCTCTCTCTTGTAGGTCACATGTTGTCCAGGCTTCTTTTTTATCCTAAGCCCCCGGCCTTAACCCCTTACCCCCAAACGCGCCAACCCCCAAACCGCTCAACCCTCCTAACCTCTTAACCACCCGCCGCCCCCCCGGCCGAAAAAACCTAAACCCCCAAAAATCTCCTCAAAATCTCCCAAAACACCCCATATCACTGCAAAATCTCCAACATACCGCAAAATCCCAAAATCCCTGCAAAACTCCCCCCCCCCCTCCCAAAAAAATAACTCCTGCGAAGCCCTGGAGGCCGCGCTGGAGACGCGCGCGTCCCTGGCCGGCGCGCGGGCCATCAAGGCCTGCGGTTCCGGGGCCACAATTTTGTTTTTTTTTTTTTGTTTGGGGGGGGGGGGGGGGGGGGGGGGTTAGGGTTTAGGGTTTAGGTTTAGGGTTTAGGGTTTAGGGTTTAGGGTTTAGGGTTTAGGGTTTAGGGTTTAGGGTTTAGGGTTTAGGGTTTAGGGTTTAGGGTTTAGGGTTTAGGGTTTAGGGTTTAGGGTTTAGGGTTTAGGGTTTAGGGTTTAGGGTTTAGGGGTACAGGGTTTAGGGGTACAGGGTTTAGGGGTACAGGGTTTAGGGTTTAGGGTTTAGGGTTTGGGGGTACAGGGTTTAGGGGTACAGGGTTTAGGGTTTAGGGTTTAGGGTTTAGGGTTTAGGGTTTAGGGTTTAGGGTTTAGGGTTTAGGGTTTAGGGTTTAGGGCAAATTTAGGGTGTAGGGCCGCGAGGTGAGGAATTCCAGGATGCACACTTCTTTAGGGGCTTGGGGTTGAGGGTGCTGACCTCAGGGTGAGAATTTGTTGCCATGGGGTTTCTGGGCTTTGGGGGCTGGGGTTTGGGGTTTAGGGTTTCTGGGTTTTTGGGGCTTAGGGCTTAGGATAGTCTCTGAACCCTTCATATTCATTTGATATGTGTATATATATATATGTACGAACCCCTAATCCGAAACCCTAAACCCTAAACCCTAAACCCTCAACTATATTTTTCAGAGTAGGCCCTTCTTCCCTTTTTGTTGGGGTTTAGGTTCCCTTATAAGCTCCCTCAAACCAAAAAGGGGTACCGTTTCCTAACCCTAAACCCTAAACCCTAAAACCCTAAAACCCTAAGCCCGGGGTGCGGTAGCCTGGCGAAAAGCTGTTTGGGCGGTAGGGGGGGGGGGGGGGGGTAGGGCGGTTTTTTCCAAAAGAGCCCCTATGCCCTGTCCATGAGTGGCGGTGTGGGTGTCCTGTTCCTCCACGGAAAAGCTGCCGGGGACCCCCCATACCCCCCCCCCCCCCCCCCGCGTTTTGGGGGGGTAAGGAGGGAAAGAGGGAGGTTTTCACCTCCAGAAACCCATCCAACACGCCGCCAGGGTCGGCGGACCCTAAAACCCTAAAAGCCTAAAACCCTAAAACCCTAAAACCCTAAAAACCCTAAAAACCTAAACCCTCAACCCAAGCCTAAACCCTGAACCCTAAAACCGTAAACCCTGAACCCTAAAACCCTAGACCCTAAACCCTAAAGCCCTAAATCCTAAACCCTAAACTCCCAAAAGCTTCGGAAAATCTTCGGAGGCCTTCGCGGGCCGCTGGCGACACCAAGGCACGCGCAGACTTGGGAGGGGTTTGGGGTTTAGGGTTTAGGGTTTGGGGTTCAGGGTTTAGGGTTTAGGGCTTAGGGTTTAGGGTTTAGGGTTCTGACTTGAGAGGGCCTTGGGGCTTAGGGTATAGGAAGTGCAGGGGTTTCGGGGTTTAGGGTTGATGGTTAGGTAGTATCAGGGTCGGAACAATTTACTACTAGTATCCCCTTATGGTCCCTTTATACATATACCACAATAACCCCCCAAAACCCTATTTTAACTCTTCAAGCCCCTATATGAGGGTATGGGAAGTGTAGGGGCTTGAGGGCTTCAGGGTTTAGGGTTGAGGGGTTTAGGGTTTAGGGTTTAGGGTTTAGGCTTTAGGGTTTAGGGTTTAGGGTTTAGGGTTCAGGACTAGGAAGTCTAGGAAGCTGAGAGGTCTGGGGTTTGGGTCTTTGGGGCGGGTTGTGGAAGTTTAGGAGTTCAGGGGTGCAGGGGGGGCTTGGGGGTTTAGAGGTTTAGAATTGTTGCATGTGGGCTTTAGGGCTTAGGGTTTTTTGGGCTTTGGGATTGTGGGGACTTGAGGTTTAAGACTTCTCGTGCTAGAGAGAACTTTGCCCAGCCTTTAGGGTATGTGGGGTTAAGGTTAGGGTCCCTGACTTGGAGGTTCATGGTAGCAGTCGGGCAACTGCAGTTGTAACCCTTATCTCGGGTACTTTTAACCCCACTTGTAACTACCCGTGGCCCTTCAAGTAGGCTCCCCTGTGATGGGAAACCCTAAACCCTAAACCCTAAACACTAAACCCTAAACCCTAAACCCTAAACCCTAAACCCTAAACCCTAAACCCTAAACCCTAAACCCTAAACCCTAAACCCTAAACCCTAAACCCTAACCCTAAACCCTTAACCCTAAGGATGCCCTGCCTCTGCAGGCAATGTTTCGGGCTTGGCTTCCCTACACACCATGGCAGGCGAGGTCGCGCAGCTACACTCGACAGTGCCCGAGCTGGATTAGGTGTTAGGCCCGTTTAGGGTTTAGGGTTTAGGGTTTAGGGTTTAGGGTTTAGGGTTTAGGGTTTGGGGTTTGGGGTTTAGGGTTTAGGGTTTAGGGTTTAGGGGAAAGTTTAGGCTTTGGGATGACACTTCTGGTCATCCGGCAGGTGTTCGGAAGCTTCCGAGTGTAAAGAAGCTAAAGAAGCAACTGTTCGTTTGGTTTGCCTTCTTTGCGTTTCGCGCTTTCCACTGACCCCCGAGCGCCAGGTCAGCAAAGTTTGGTTTTGTATTTGTACAGTTGCCGGACAGTCTTCACTGCACAGGAGGGGGGGGGGGGGTGGGGACACTATTCCGGAAGTTTCGCGACTTTGTAGCTGGAACCGTAGCCAGCTGAGATGTCTGTTGGCTCCTGTGTATGTCTGTTGAATTGCAACATGGGAGTTTAGAATATTTGGGGTACCTTATGTGGGGTCCTTGTTATAAGGGAATTCTTACGATTTGGGGGTCCATTTTGGGGGTCCCCAGTTTTCTAAACCCTAAACCCTAAACCCCCATGCTGCCTGCGGCTGCCTTGCACTTTGTCGGTCCTCGCAACTCAAGGTGACAGCCGTCAGCAGCCAGAAGCTCTCGCGTGTGGAAGAGATGCAGCAGAACTCCTTGGAAACCGTGGCCTACATGAACAAGTTCCTCAAGGCCTCTCCCCCCAAACCCTAAACTTGAGTCAAAAACCCTAAGCTTCCCCAAAAAACCCTAAGCTTCCCTAAAAGCCTGAAACTTCCCAAAAAAAACCTAAGCTTCATAAAACTTCCCCAAGCCCTCCTTAGCTTCCCCAAAGCCTTAAGCAAAATACCCTCAACTTCCCTACAGGTAGCTACGAATTGCATAAGAACCCCCGAAAAGAAGCTCGAGTATTCTTCCTTGGGAATGTACGGATTGCTATTTTTTTCGCATTTTTTGGGGCGATTTTCAAGCAAACAGTAGAAGTGGAGGGCCCCCCCCAAACAGAGCTCGCTCCTCCAGGCCAGAGCACACGTCCTTGGCCTGTACCACCAGACCGCGAGCCGGGCAAAGACAGCGCAGACGTGGTTCCTTAGTGATACTTGGAAACATTTTTTTATTTTGGGGTTCTATAATTGCTAAGAAACAGCTATAATTATGATTTTGGGCACTATAATTCCTAAGAAACAGAAAAATATTTTTTTGCCGGGAGTTCCAAGTTCAGTAAAGGTTCAAGCAACACTGGACAAACAAGTTGCCTGGAGTTGGCTTCAGCATGTTTCAGTGTTTTCGGGTTTAGGGTTTAGGGTTTTTTTCACACGCGGGCCCCGCGGAAGGTGTGCAAAGCCCGCTTGGAATGCTGGTCTGTCGGTTCATCGCTGGTAGAACGATCAGGTAGAAGCTCTTTCCTTGTTCAGGGTTGGGGTTCCCTTATAATCCCCTGAAAACCAAAATGGGCACCCTTATTATTCCTGGTTACTCCCGGTGGGCCTAGGAAGTCTTGAAAGTTGAAGTGGCTGGACCCTAAACCCTAAACCCTAAACCCTAAACCCTAAACCCTAAACCCTGAACCCTAAACCCTAAACCCTAAACCCTAAACCCATTGCCAGGATGTCAGTCCTTGACGAGCTGCGAGACGCCAGTGTCGCCCAAGCCTTGGAGACTAAGTTAGTTTTTGGGACCATTTTTTGATTTTCCTTGTTTGGGTTTATAAGGTAATTTTTCTTATCAGGGTTTACAAGGGCCCACCCCTAAACCCTAAACCCTACACCCTATAAACCCTAAACCCTATATATAAATATTATTCAGAGGGTTTAAGGGCCAACCCAGGAGACCTTCGACACGATGTGGTGGCAAGTCCGCCGAAAGCTGGATGCGCATCTTTGTGGCAAGGGTCACCAAGTATTTTGGGTCGGGTTTAGGGTTTAGGGTTTACGGTTTCGGGTTTAGGGTTTAGGGTTGGCAAAATTGCCGGGCTCCCTACTTCTGCAAGCCCGGCACGGACGTGTTCAACCCTCCAAGTCTGCAAAATTCAACAGAGGTATCGTATACTTTCGTCGGCCCGGGTTGTCACGCTCAGGTACCTTGATGCGGCGGATGATCATACACGTGCAATGAGCCATGCCGTGGATTCACTGCGCAGCCCCTCGGAGGGATCATGGGCTAAGAGAGGGGTTTTAGGGTTTCGGGTGGGTTTAGGGTTTAGGGTTTAGAATTTAGGGTTTAGGGTTTAGGGTTTAGGGTTTAGGGTTTGGGGTTTAGGGTTTAGGGTTTAGGGTTTAGGGTTTAGGGTTTAGGGTTTAGGGTTTAGGGTTTAGGGTTTAGTGTGGAAGAGCTTACAGAAGTTGAAAGGATGAAACGCTTCTTCGTCTAGCCCGCTCACCTTCTAAGGGATGCAGTCTGACACCAGGTGTGCGCCACACCGTTGTTTGTTTGCGGTGGGTCTTTTGCACCCCAACCCCTACTTGGAGGTTCATGGGCACTTATAACCCCACTAAAGTCCTCTAAATAGATTTTCATTTAGACTCATTTAGATTTCGTGGGGTCATAAGCTCCCATGGAACTCCAAGTTTCTCGTTGGTCCTAGTCCCCGGGCAGCCTGAGGCTACGCTGGACAATGCCACGCCAGCTTCGTCCAGTTGAAAAAGTCTTATGCCGCCTCCATTCGGGCTGAGAAGACGCTCATCCACCACATATGATTCTCATGTGGGGATTCGATGGGGGGGGGGGTTTCCGACATAAAGGTGCCCTCTTTGGCGGATCCCATAGTCCCCACAATGAGGATGAGAGTATTTGCGGTATATGTAGGAGTACTCCAATTTTGTGAGATGCCCATGTGCATTGGGACAAGACCGGATTCCTAAGCCCTGCATGAACCTGTGAGTGGCTCGAAGTCAACCTCGGGTGTGGCTTCATGCCCACTCTCACTCC